TTCTTGAACTTTGTGGTCTCAAGACCCCTTTACACTCATGAATTTTTGAGGACCCTCAAGAAGTTTTGTCTATGTAGGTTAGATCTATTAATATTTGTTATATTAGAAATTAAAATTGATAAAAACTGTTGTCTTATTTATTAATTGCTTTTAAAATAATAATGATAAACCTATTGCATGTTAACATGACCTTTTTATGAAAAATAACCATATTTTCCAAGAGGAAAAATAACAGTGAGAAAGGAGTGGTTTTGTTTTATATTTTCGCAAATCTCTTGAATGTCTGGCTCATAGAAGACAGCTGGATTCTCATAACTGCTTCTGCATAGTTTACTGTGACATCATACATCATGCAGCCTCCAGATAGTTCCAGAGATCGTGATAGAATGAGACTGTAATAGACATTTTAGCATTATTATGAAAATGGTTTTGGTGTCACAGGCGCCCTGAGAAGGTCTCAGGGAACTCCAGGATTCCCAGACCACACTTCGAGAACTCTTGTAGTGTTATGCCAAAGACTCTGTTTTGTCCTGTTTGGCATTTTCATGAACTACTAATGACTATTTTGTAGTTTATTTTTATTAACTACAAAGAAATTAATGCTCATTAGTTTTGCAGATGATACAAAACTGGTGATGGGATTATTACAAAAGGTGACAGAATACAAAATTTACGTTGTTTCTGCAGACCACAAACAAACAAAATTAAATGTGGAATGTCCTGCATTTACATTTTGCTTTATTTTTAATCAGTTGCACGTGTACTAGAAGCATAGGCTGAGAAAAACTGGCCTGACAGCAGTTTGTATGAAAAAGATCTGGCGGTTTAGGTCAACCACAGCTAAATATGAACCAACAGCTTTTAACATCATGTTAGGAAGTATCAGTAGAAGGGTAACCATTGAGCTGGGGCAGACAGGCAAGGTGACTTACTTGGAGGAGCCAGGGGGAGAGGATGGAATTGTGACACTTTCTTTGCTCTAGCCCCCACCTGGATTTCCAGAAAGTGCAAGGGGGCAGATAGGAGGCATGCAGCATTTGTGCTCTACTAACAATGTGGTTTCAAAGGTTTAAATAAAAGATTTTAGCAAATCCACAAACAAAAGTTCCCTTGAGCTCTACAGATTTTCATGGCCCAAAAGACAAGGACACCCTTCCATGTTGGATTTGCAGGTCTCCACCACAGTGTCCAGCCCCAAGTCTGTACCAAAGGGGCAGCCTCGTCCAGGATGGGGCTCCAGGCTGCCAGTGGGGGCTGTTCTCAGGTTTTCTCTGAGTCTCCCAACATAGCTCACCCCAGCAGTTCACTCTGGCCAGAGGCCCCTGTCCAGTGGGCTGCATGCTTCTGGAGATACTCTAGCTATCTCAGCGTCACCTTGCAGCCTTCGTCCACACCACTCTTCTGAACTTGGCTTGGTGACCTGGGGCTCAGCTGTTCCTGGCCTGGCCCAGAGGGAGAAAGGGCCTTGGTTCCTTCCCTCCTGCTGCATCTTTGTGCCCTTGTTGAGAAGTGGTTCTACCCGCTCTCTCCTGGGTCAAGAAACAAGTTCCTCAACAAGTCAGTAAGGATGGCCCCAATTGGCACACACTTCACAGAAGGTGATGGCTTCTCCTATTCTGCTCCAGTCTGAGTCAATCTCTAGAAGAGCCTTCTAGCCTGGGCACTCCACATTAGGGGATCATTAGTGACCTGGAAAAATTCCAGAGGATGATAGAGGTGGATACAGGCTCTGGAGTCAGCTGTTGGTTCAAGTCCCAGCTCTGCCACTTGCTGATTGCATGACCTCTGCACAAGTTACTTACACTCTATGAACCTCAGTTTCCCCATTTATAAAATGAAAATGATAATATTGGGTATTATGAAGACTGAATAAGACAATCCATTTATTTATTTATTTTTTAAGATTTTATTTTTTCCTTTTTCTCCCCAAAGCCCCCCAGTACATAGTTGTATATTCTTCGTTGTGGGTCCTTCTAGTTGTGGCATGTGGGACGCGGCCTCAGCGTGGTTTGATGAGCGGTGCCATGTCCGTGCCCAGGATTCGAACCAACAAAACACTGGGCCACCTGCAGCGGAGCGCATGAACTTAACCACTCGGCCATGGGGCCAGCCCCAAGACAATCCATTTAAAGTGCTTATCATAGTACCTGGCACATGATAATTGTTCACTAAATATTATTGTATAAATTGTACTTTATATCAGTTTTGTTTTTTTTTTTTTAAGGGGAAGAGGATCTGAAGAGATGCCCTTCTGGCTACAACACAGGCTACTGGCATTATTTGACCATAGAAGAGTGCCCCTGGGCCACAGGGCCACAGGCATCTCCATTTCAGAAAAGAAGCTCTGCTTTATATTTGCATAACTAAAAGTCCCCTTAAGTGGTTTTCCTGGAATGAAAATAGATTATAACGTCAGCTTTGAAATGACAGTTTTTCAAGTCCTCCCCTTTCCTATCAAGGCTTCAAAGATTTTAGGGTCAAGTTTCAGTGGGAGCTAGAGGTCCAAGGGCCTGTGTGCGGCCCACACCTTATCCATAGAAAGGAGAGCTCAGCCCAGGAAGTTCACATCCTTCTGTCCAGCAGGCCTGTCCCTGACATAGCTAGGCCCGGGCCAAGAGTGCAGACGGAGGTGCACAGACCGTATATCTAATATTTAAAAGTTATAATTCAAGTTAGAAGGCTATTGGATAAAATATAGTCTATCCTCCTACCTCGACAAATACACCTTCAGAACAGCTAGGAAGGCCTAGCTCTAATGTAGAATTCTTGGACTCCTCAGAGTTTCTCCCCAGAAAGTGGAGGTTTGGGGAGGGCTGGCCTGTCCCCCTTCTAATCCCATTCCTCCACCTCATCCCGCACGAGACCTCTTGGCCATGTGCGTGGACCCCTCAACCAGCACATCCAAGTTCCACCACACACTCAGCCTTCTCACCTTGGCCGCCTTTGAGGCCTACGGATGCACACATAAGTGACTTAGTCTGTCTTTGGGTTGATGGTGTCATCAACTAATGGCCTCAAGGAACTCAAAGGTTGGTGAGGAAGCATTTAACGGTTTAAGAGATGCAATCACCAACCACTCTGAACCAGACCAAACCCCACCACAAGAGCAAGGCCTATGACCTTTGCCTCATTTTTAATGATAAGATCTCCTCTCTGAGGAGGAGCTTAGGCCTTATTACCATAATCTGCAGGGTATGTGGAAGCATGTTTTCCACCTGAGCCTGCATAAGCGAATACCCTTCTCTCCCTTTTGCATATTCATTCCTCAGCTGAAATAAAAGGTCCCTGCTTCCCTTTTTCTGGGGACACTGCGACTTTGGAAATGATTCCGTGTGGCCTCCTATTTGCTGCAAATAAGTATTACTTTGTGTGACAACTACTTCTGGTAGAGAATCCAATTGTAACTCAGCAGGAGGGGAACCCACTTGGTTCAGTAACAGTGGTTCAGGGAAGAGGCCCATGCAGGCCTGAAAGAGATCAGAGGGCAGTTGGGAAAGGAACTCCAAGATCCCAGGTGGTTGGGGAGGAGGCTCCTGGAGAGGACATTGTCTCTCCTCCCCAGAGGGAGGGGCAGAACTATGGGAGTCCAGAGCAGGGCACTCGAAAGCACAGGCCTAAGGTAGGAGCTGGTTTTGCTCTGGTCTGAGGATGTACTATGGTCAACAAGTATGTACTGAGCGCATGTGCGGGACACTGGGCTGGGTATTGAGGATGCTGCTGTCAAGGAACTGACAGTCTACTCAGGGGAGATGGACAATAAAGAAGTGAGCAAACAAATAACAAATATTTACACATTATGAAAAAACCTTATGAAAGGGGGACCCACTTTGGTTTGGGTGGAGGTAACTCTGAAACTGAGTCATGGAGGATGAGAAAAAGCCAGCAGAGTGCGTAGTTGAGGGAAGTGTGTTCCACATAGATGGAACTGAGAAAAGGCCAGTGGAAGGGGGTGATGGGGAGTGAGTGAGGATGAGATGGGAGGTGGGCTTTGAGGCCACATCCAAGAGATTGGATTGTACATAAAGAGCGTTAAGAAGGCAATGATTTAACTTATACTCTAAAAAGATCAGTCTCGTTGCTATGACGAGAAAGGATCGTAGGGTGCAGAGTGGAAGTAGGGAGGCCAGCTGGGAGGTGGTGACAGCAGCACAGGTGAGAAATAACGATGGTCTGGACTAAAACTGGGTTGTGGAAGAGGAGAAGAGCACACAAATGGAGGGGGTGTCCACAGGGCTTCCTGATGGCTTAGATGTGGGCGGGTGTGAGGAAGAAGGAAATGTCAGGAATAAGTGGCCTCTTCCCCTCCTGGCACGGCCACATCCTATTTCGGTCACTGTTGTCTCTTCCATGTGCAATCCCTGTAACAGACATTTCAAATGTTTATGTAGTCAAAGCTGTTGACGTTTGCCAGGATGACTTTTTTCCATTGTTTCTTTTTTGCCTCAAGACTTTATATTGTTGATCTATAATTTCTTTCTTTAATTGGAAATTAATTTGGGTATAAGGTAGTATTCTAAGTGCTGATAGTTATTCATTGGGCTCTTTTGTTTTAAAGATTGGCACCTGACCTAACATCTGTTGCCAATCTTCTTTTTTTTTTTTTCCCTTCTTCTTCTCTCCAAAGCCCCCCCAGTATGCAGTTGTATATTTTAGTTGTAGGTCCTTCTGGTTGTGCTATGTGGGACGCCACCTCAGCATGGCTGGATGAGCGGTGCTATGTCCGCGCCCAGGATCCGAACTGGTGAAACTCTGGGCTGCTGAAGCTGAGCGTACGAACTTAACCACTGGGCCACGGGGCCAGCCCGTATTCATTAGTGTTTTAAGATAAATTTAGTGGATAGGGACAAGAATTTTCTTTTTAATTGGCTAGGATAGGAGTGGAGTGGAGTGGAGTGGGATAGAATAGAATAGAATAGAGTAGATCAGAGTTCATCTGACATAATAAGAACAAATATTGTTTTAGGAACTTTTGCTTTAATTATGAATTTATACTTATGAGCACATTTACTCAGCTGAGTTGTCTCACATATTTCTTACTGTGGGTCATGGTCAAAAAAGTTTAAAAGGCCCTTTATAGGATGAAATGATAAAATCTAATTATTTTATTCCAAATCAGCAATTTTCCCAACACCATTCAAAGAATAGTCTTTTGTTTCACCAATTGATTTATGAGTCCTTCCTTCGCATGTATTACATTCTAATTTAGGCAGTCAACAAATATTTTTAATCAGCTACTGTGTGCCATACATATGCTACATGGGGGAAATGACACAACGTGAATAAAAAAGTAGTCTCTCTTCTCACTCCTGGAGCTTATACAAAGGCTGAGGTGTGTTACTGGCTTGTCTGTCCTGCTCCGTTGATATTTCTCTAAATTTTTACCCCAGTGCCACAGTTGTTGTCAGTGAACTTGTCATTTATTGAGCAGCAGTTAAGGGCTAGGCATTGTGCAAAGTGCTTTCACGCAACACTTCATTTCATACTTATAATGACGCTATAAATGGTGTTCTTATTCCCACTCTACTGAGTGGGGAAACTGAGGCTATGAGATGCTAGGAATGCTTCCCAAGGTGACTGTATTAGTCCACTCAGGCTGCTATAACAAAGTACCACAGATTGTGTGGCTTATACAATAGGAGTTTATTTTCTCACAGTTCTAGAGGCTGGGAAATCTAAGATCAAGTTTCCAGCAGGGTTTGGATTGTGGTGAGAGCTCTCTCTCCGGCTTGTAGATGGCCGCTTTCTCTTTGTGTCCTCACATGGCCTTTCCTCTGTGCTCACCCTGGGGGAGAGAGAGAGAGAGAGAGCAATTTCCAAATACAGTCACATAGGGGGTTAAGGCTTCAGCATGCGAATTTTGGAAGGACACAATTCAGTCTATAACAGTGACATGTCCAGGAAGTGGTGGAGCCAGATTCAAACCCAAGCCTAATTCCTCCAGTACCTGAATTCTTATTTAACACCATTTCTGTCCAATAAGGCAAATCCCATCTCATTATTTTTATTTTCTTAAAAAAAACAAAAAAGCTGTTCTTGTCCATTTATTCTTTCAGATGAACTTCACTAATCACTTTGACATGTTCCACACCAGTAAGAATTGACGTCTTCACACCGCTGAGTTGCCCCATCCAGGAATATGCTATATGCTGTCCCTTGGGGAAGTCACGTGCTTTCCCGCTTATAGTGTCACACATTTCTCGTCAAGGGTTTTCTGAGGCCGTATTTTCTTAGTTTAGTGCTTCTCAAACTTTAATGTGCATTAATCACCTGGGGATTTTCTTAAAAAGCAGACCAGGTCAGCAGGCCTGGGGGCGAGCCTAGGAGTCTACATATCTAGCAAGCTCTCAGGTGACGCGGCTGCAGTGCCAGGAACCACACTTGGAACAGTAAGGTCATAATTGTGCTATTTCAAATGGGATAGTTTAATCTAATATTTTAGAACTTGTGATTCTCTAGAAAAGCCATTGATTTTTATTTGACCAGTTTTGCATATGATTCCTTTCCTGAACCCAGAGAGTTTGCTTGTTGCTGTGGAGACAAGCTGGAGCTTCCAGGGCCAGGGAGAGGGGACCATCATGCTCGTACTAAAAAGGGATCTGTGGCATCCATGCCTGGAAGTCTAGGCAACCAGGACTGGTTGCCTGGCAGCAGCCCCCCTCCCATCCTTACCCCTTACGATGTCACCCTTCTGCCTGATTTAGACTCAGACCCAGTGAATCGTAGAGCCTGGCGTACAGTAGAGTAGGCGCTCAATAAATACTTGCTGGGTCAATGAATCTAGGGCAATTCCCCCCAACAAACTAGTCTTGCAGATGAGGAAACTGAGGTCCAGAGAGAGGAAGCAATCTGTTGGAGCTGACCTACAGGCCTCACTGGAATAAGACCTCAGGTTTCCTGCCTTCTTCTCAGAGTTCCACCTTGCTCTGAGCCCTGAGAAAGACATCAGAGATGCAGAGTCCCACGTGAGGGAGGTCCCAGAACCACAGAACACATACCTGAGAAGAGACCTTCAAGGTCATCTTATCCAGGGCTTCTTAACCCAGGGTGTGTCGGAACCACCGTATATAAGCCTGGACCTCACCCAGGAAGAGTCTGATTCAACAGGTCTGTTGTGGGCACCATAGGCTCTGAACAATAGCCAGGTGGGTGATTCAGGTATGCAGCCAGCTTTGGGAACCACTGTCCTGACCCAATCTGCTTGTTTTACTAAAGAGGAAACTGAGTCTGGGAAGGGTAGCAACTTGTGGATGGCCTCACAGACCTATTCCATAGGACCACCTTAAGACCTGATCTACAGGAAGTCAGGAACCACATCCAACCATCGCCTTCCTGACCAGGAGAGGGGAAGAGGAAAGGTAATAGGGCCTGAGGCTGCCTTGGCAGCTACACCTGGCGTCCCATTTCTCCAAGCTCAGTAATAAGCCAGAAAAGTCTTACGTGTGAGTAGGAGAGCAGTCATTTAAGAGCTATAAGCTGCAAGACGCAGAAAGCTTTCACCTCATCTTTAAAAATGTTGTGCAAGTCATTTGGCAGAGTAATTTAAAAAGTGGAGATCTCTCAAAGCAGAGAGTCAGTGAGACAGTTCACAGCCGGCCTCTGCCACCAGTGTTCGCAAATTACTTAACCTAACCCTCAGGGTCCCCACCTGTAAAATGTGGTCATTAACAGAACCCACCCATATAACCTAGAGGTTAAGTGGATGCTGCTTGGAGCCAGACTGGCTGGTTCAAACCCCAGTTCTGCTGCTTATTAGCTATGTGACTTTTGACAAGCTATTTAGCCTCTTTATGCCTCAATTTCATCACTTGTAAAATGATGCAATAATAGTAATTTCCTCAGAGGGTTGTTGTTGTGAGGATTAAATGAATGAATACATTTCCCTCACCTCTGAGCTTTGGTCCACCTTAGGCCACAGTCCCTCATCTCTTCTCTGCCTACACGCACTTCCTTGGCTTTAAATACCATCTGGTTAGTTCCAAATTTACAAGTTGAGCTCCTTCTTCTCCTCTGAACTCTACTCTGAATATCCAACTACCTGATGGACAACTCCTCTCGGACATCTAATAGATATCTTAAGCCTAAAGTGCCCCAAACTGAACTCTTCATCTCCACCCCTAAACCTGCTCTTTCCAAGGTCTTCCCTATCTCAGTTAACGGCACCTCCATCCTTCCAGCTGCTCAGGCCGAAGTCCTTGGAGTTAGCGCTTAGCAAATTGTGTTGGCTCCACTTTCAAAATATACCTGGAATCTGATCACTTCTCACCACCTCCATTGTAACCACACTCGTCCTTGCCACCGTCATCATTACGCTGCATAGCTTCTTGGTTTCCATGCTTTTGTTTTTATTCACCTCTAGTCTATTCTCAATGCTGCATCCAGAGGGAGCCTGTTTAAACAAAGGTCACATCATGACAAGCCTCTCTCCCAAAACCCCCAGTACTTTCTGTTTTAGAGTAAAAGCCAAAGTCCCCACCAGGGTCTATGACGCCTTAGATGGTCTGGTCCCAGCATGTCTGCCGTCATCTTCTTTACACAACACTTTGCCCACCTTGGTCCAGCCAGATGGGCCTCCTTGTGTGTTCCCACACCTCAGAATCTATGCACTTGCTAGCTGCTCTGCCTGAAGCATTTTTACCCCTTTATCCTCAGGGATCACTCTCTTAACACTTTCAAATCTTCATCCAAAAGTCTCTTTCTAAATGTTACATCTTTCCTGACAGCTCCAGCCCTCCCTATCCTCCTTTCCTTCTTTACTTTCTTTAATAGCACATATGTCCCTCTCATGTTCTATTTATCTAATACACTATTTAATTTACTTACCTACTATGCTGATTATCTGTCTTTTCCCTTTAGAGAATAAGCTCTGTGAAGACTTGAGGACAAGGATCTTTGTCTCTTTTGCTCACTTCTGCATCCTCAGAGCCTGGGACAAAACCTGGCACATAGTGGGTTCCTTCGACGTAGTGGGTTAAGTAAATTTAATGAATACCTGTTAGCTCTAATTATTCTTTTAACATTTTAGAAACAGAGTCAGAAAAAGAACAATTTTAAACATTGACATTTTGTGCTAAAAACTTCCAAACAATGTCTGCGAGCTCACACTAAATGAAAAGGCAGCCTACAGAATCACACATCTACCATGATTGCAAATTTGCAAGATGTATATAAGAGCATAGGCGGAGCACAAAAGTTATATTAATTCTCATCATAGCGTCAGGACTGATTTTTTCTGCTGTTTTCCAACTACATGTACTGTGGGTTTTAAAATAAAATAAGATTTTAACTTACTGAAATATGAACAACATGACATCCTTTATAGAAAAACGAAGCAAAACGATACCTTATCTTTTCTATGCGCCTGGAACAGGTCTGGAAAGATACATTGACCTCGTCGCTGCAGTTATTCCTGGGGAGAAGGGGAGTACATTGTCGGTATTGATTAAACATTTTTCTAAAATGTTTAAGTCATTTACAAAAATAATGTGTTCTTATATTGTGCAATTAGATTTTTTTTAAAACAAGGCTAGAAGGAAACACTTAAAAATCCTTAAAGAAAACAAAGTGTGGTCTATAACTAAAGGCTCCCCACAGCAACAAAATTCCCCTTTCTTTTCGCACCTAAAGGCTCCAGTTCCTTCTCTTAAACAGAGATATTGGGGCTGGAGAGAGACCAGGAGGGCTCCCCCTGCCCGCTGAGGACATGGCTCCAGGTGACACATCCCAAAGTCCCCAGCCAGTTTTGGGGCAAATGGGGTGAGGGGAACACCACCTTCCCTTCTCCCTGCTTCCAGCAGGACTGTAAAAACTCCTATCAGAGACCCCCAGCACAGGGAGGAAAGTGTGGGTGGATACTGAGTGCCAGTTCCACACAGATTTAGTCTGCCTAGAGAAAAAAAGACTGGAGAGAGACTGTGGCTTCCCAAGGGCCCTCCAGTTCCGTAGATTCCCCCAGCTCCGCCATCTCTGGGCAGCAGCAAAGCTGGTTTCTCTCAAGGGCACACCCACACATGCTGTGTCACTGCACACTAGCCTCAGATTACAGAAAGCCCTTCGTAAGCCTTCCGTGCCGCTGTTGTGAGAATCTCTCTATGATGTGTTCCAACTCTGCTCACCTCAGGGAACAACTGGGTACAGGGGAAGTTGTCGAGGCCAGTTTGGGGCTCCTTCTTCCCTGTCCTCAGGCACCTCCCCAGCCACTCTCTTTGCCCACTGCCCAGCCCAAGGAGTCCTCTCCTTGCAGCTGACTGGGGATCAGCCTTCCACACCAATCTCCAGGACAGTGAGTTCCATAGCCATAAAGCCCATGCCAATGTCCATTTTCCACACACCGGGCTAGTTTGTAGGGCACAGTGTATAGTGGCCTTTTCCTCCTCACTCCAGGCCTGGCAAGGGCAAAAAAGTGCCAGTTTGTTTCTGGGTCAACCATCAAGCAAAGGATGATTGCCCAGCCTCTCTCCTAGCACTGCCTCAATGGCACCCCCGCCCCCCCCGCCACCTCAGCACCCAGCGGGGGGCCTGGAGGATCACTGGACTGGATTACGTGCCCAGAGGACTAGAATTCCTCTGCCTGAGTCAGAACATCAGTGACAGCAACAGCCCATGTTCATTTAGTTTCCAGGGCACCTTGATTAACTGGAAGTAGGATTTTAGACTCCAGAGGCTATTGATTCAGTTATCATGTGTGTCTCTCCATCCATTCATGAAACTTCTTTTTTTTTTTTTTTTTGAGGAAGATTAGCCCTGAGCTAGCATCTGCTGCCAATCCTCCTCTTTTTGCTGAGGAAGCCTGGCCCTGAGCTAACATCCGTGCCCATCTTCCTCTACTTTATATGTGGGACGCCTGCCACAGCATGGCTTGCCAAGTGGTGCCATGTCCACACCCAGGATCCGAACCGGCAAACCCCGTGGCGCCGAAGCAGAACATGCGAACTTAACCACTGCGCCACCAGGCCGGCCCCCATTCATCAAACTTCCATGGCCTGCTGACTCTACTTTCTGTGCCTGGCACTGTGCTAGGTTGTAATCTACTAGGAAAGAATCGATAAGTACACAAATGTCTCTACCACAAAGAAGAGCAAGGCAAATGACCACTCCCCCCACCCCTCCACCTAAGGAACGAGGCTAAAAGTTACTCTTACTTGGATAACTAGTTAATAATCTTTATTGAGCACTTACTAGGTATTGGGTGTTTTCATGTATTGATCACATATGGATCCTCACAATAATCTTTGGAGATAGGTGCTATATCATTTACACATAAAGAAGAAGACAGAGACTTGCCCAAGGTCACACAGCTACTGAGTACCAAGCTGAGATTCAAAGGCCATGTCCTTCTCCTGACCTTGCTGGCAGCCCCAGGATAAGTACTGCAGGCTCAGGCCACAGAAAGCCACCAGGGAGAGCCAGACTCCCCCAGGCCCCAGCCCAGACTTCCCACCACCCCTTCACAGGTCTCACCCCAATTCCCTCTTCACTCATTCATTCATTCATTTAGTCAAAGACAGTTATTGAGTACCTACTAGGTGCAAAACTCCTGGGGAATGGATGAATTATACATGACTTTGTCATCAAAGGCTCTCGTAGGAGAGTCTAGTAGATAAATAACTACAATTCATGGTAAAAAGTAAGAAATATAGGTAAAGTGCTAGACCAAGTTTAAGGGAGGGAACAATTACTTTGATTTAGGAGAATCTTTGTGGAGGAAGGGGCACTGAGGTGGACCTTGAGGATGTGTAGGTTTTGATCCCGCAGAGATGTGGGGAAGCGCTGCTGAGAGTCAGGAAACGCCTTAGGCACAGATGTGGAGGCAGGAAGGGATGGAGGGAGAGGGAAGAGGGAAGACTGAGGAGTTCGTGTTGTTGGCGGACTGTGCACCTGAAGGGGAGTAGCAGGATACGTTTGGAAACACAGTGGACATTCTGTAAATATTTATTACCTGAAAAATAAAAACAGGACATTTGGGCTGGATTACAGGGACTAAAATGCCAAGCTGCCGAGTCTGGTGCCTGTCTCCTTACTAACAGGGAGCCGTTGACAGGATTTTCTAATGTCCCCTTTGGTGGGTAAGGCCAGGTGGCTGTTCCATCTCGTTCTCTCCCGGCCTCCTCCCCAGAGCTGGTCCCACAGTGTCAGCAGCTCTGTCCTCCACTGCTGTGTCATCATTTGCTCTCTTTCAAGTGCCTGGCCCACACCCAGCAGCCCCCACACTGCAAAAAGCTTCCTTCCTGGGGCAGCAGGACGAGTCATTTGGAAACCTCTCTCTGATGAGCTCCGTGATCAAGGTGCTGATACGGCAGGTGGGCCGGCCTCACCGTGTCTCCAGTCTCGGAGGTGAAGGCAGTGGTGAGTTTCGTTGGCCCATCACCTCCGCCTTGAGCCTTGTTCACTTTCACTGCCGGAGACAGTGCGGATGCCTTTGACAATACATTTCATGATCCTGCTTCAGCCGTTTCCTGCCTTTGCCTTTCAAGGTTGCTCGGTCCTGCCGGGGCCCATGCTGGGCCACCCAAGACAAGGCCTCTAACCTACCCCCTCACTGACCACAGTTCCTCGCTGTAGCCTCATGTAGAGGCAATGAGGATGTGGACGTGGGGAAGATGGACTTTCTGCCACTTTACGCCTCCTCTCGGGCAAGCAAGCTAACTGTCCCACTGGGGACCAGTTCATCTCTTGCTCCCCGGAGAGCAGAGCACTGGGTCTGAAGTCAGAAGAACCGACTGGGTTTCCTCTCCAACTGGACAGACTTATGCAACTCATGAGAACTGCTGAGCCTGGGTGTTCTCACAAATAAAAGAGGCTAAGAATTCTTGGCTGGCTTTCTCCACTGGCTTGAGATGCGGCCCTCCTGAGACAAAGAATGTGAAAGGGCTTCATAAACTGTAAATTAATCTGGGAGTGTTATGATTGTGGTTATTAGTTTGCAAAGATTGAGTTCATGTTATTATTCTCTCTCGGCATCCTGTTCCTTTTCTTTGTAGCCCTTACAGATTTTTGTACTCATAAGTTATCATTATTACTAAGTGAGTTGTGTATTTGTCTCATGCCCACCTCCTCTCCGTAGTGTAAGCTACGACAGGGAGGGAGTCATGTTTAGTTTTGATTCTCATACTTTCCCAGCTTCTAGTTCAGTGCCTGGAATGTAATGGAGGCTTAAGGAATAATTAACTGATAAGTTATTTGAGGACCCACCACCCATCCTCACTAAAGACATCGACTAGGCTAGTCTGCTAAACCCTGGCACAAGCTGGGTGATTAATAAATGTTTTTTGGAAGTTGAAATGTACAAACCTCCTTAAATACCAGCTTCATTGTGAAATTCTGTTGCTGAAGAATCTGCTGCATTTCTCAGTTTCCCCATCTGCCATCCAAATGCCCAGACAGCTCCCTGTGCCTCTCAGAACCCACCTTCCTTGCCTCTTGTCCTTCTCCCACATCTTCCTCTGCTCCAGTCCAGACAAACTACCCACCATCCTCTCCCCAAGACATGCTTGTACCACCTGCAGGCCTCTGTTGGGACTCAGGCATTCCCTTTACCCTTCCCTCCGAGTTCTGTCTAAACTTCCTTCCTTTCCCTTTAAAAAAGCACATGTAGGGGCCAGCCTGGTGGCACAGTGGTTGGGTATGCACGCTTCGGTTCACGGGCCCAGGGTTCACGGGTTCAGATCCCGGGTACGGACCTATATGACGCATCGTTCTTTGGGCCGTGCTGTGGTGATGTCCCACATACAAGGTAGAAGAAGACTGGCACAGATGTTAGCTCAGGGACAATGCTGTGAAAATAGAGGATATTTAAAGTATACACAGGGCCAGCCCCATGGCCAAATGGTTAAGTTCGCACGCTCCACTTTGACATCCCAGGGTTTCGCCGGTTCGGATCCTGGCCACGACATGGCACCACTCATCAAGCCATGCTGAGGCAGCGTCCCACATAGCACAGCTAGAGGCTCTCACAACTAGAATATACAACTAGGTACTAGGGGGCTTTGGTGAGAAGAAGAAAAAAGAAAAAAGAAAGATTGGCAACAGTTGTTAGCTCAGGTGCCAACGTTTAAATAAAATAAAATATACACAAATAAATTTTTTTTTAAAAAACTGTGTGTGTGTGTTTCATAGCACTTTATACCTATGGAGGATTTCTGTTTGGAAAAAAGTCTTTTATCTTTTTTTTTTAAGTACATGATATGTATATGATATTATTCAAAACAAATGAGCAAGATTGGCAGTGCAGGCATTTTACAGGTGTACAGATTAGGACACTAAAACTCAGAGAAGCTTTATTTGTAATTTATATACCTGGAGATTGTGGCTTATTTGTGGATCCATGAAAGCAATTTGTTTGAGTGATCTCCATTAGAGAAAGAAACAGGGAGAGAGACAGAGACAGAGACATGGAAGGAGGGAAGGAGGGAGGAAGAAAGGAAGGGTAGGAAATATGAGTATATCAAACATACTAAGAATAAGTATTATTTGTTATGTGTGTGTGTGTGTGTGTGTGTGTGTGTACACGCCAACTAGGTTGTGATGTAAAACCTGTTTCTTACGATGGGCCATGTTCAAAGTGACTGGGTTACGTGGTATGCTGAAGGTTAACTAGCAGAGCTTAAGCTCCACCAATAAGAGTGGAGGCTGAGATGGACCAGAGAGGTGCCAGAGGTGGGAGCTAGCCAGGGTCGGGGGAGGTGTGATCTAAATCTCAGCAGTGCCAGCCTGGGCCCCAGGGAAGCCGGGTATTCTGGGGGAAACCAGCTGTGGGTTGCGGTGCCAATTGTGTGAGGTGCCATCAGCTGTTCTAGAGAGGCCTCAGCTACAGCAGCATTTGTGTGGAGAGGTTGGCAGCAGTGCTGGGGTGGGATGGGAGCTCCAGTTTGAGATACCAGCCGTGTCAGGGCAAGCCATCTCCGTGTACCATCCTGTGTAGCCTAAGGCGGTGATTCTCAAAGTGTGGCTCCCAGCCCGACAACATCGGCATCACCTGGCCACTTGCTAGGAATGCGAATTCTCAGGTTCCCACCCCAGACCTCTGGAATCACAAACTGTGAGGGAAGGCCCAGCAGTCTGTGTTTAACAAGTCCTCCAGGTGATGCTGAGGCATAACGTTTGAGATCCGCCTCCCTAGGAATGCCCTGTTTGGCATTCTATCTTTGAAGTGTCTCAGAATATTTAGGCAGAGTCTGGTCTAAAAGCAGCCTTGCTGGAAAACAGAAGTGCTGGGTCTCCAATCCAGGCCTTTTGATACAAAATACAGTGTTTTCTCCACAGTTTACGCAGCACGCTCACGCACTGCCTGGTAGATCCTCCTTACTCTGCATGCCTTCCACACTGCTGGACTCAGCCCGCGCTAGGTTCAGTGACACGGTAGATTCATATATATTGCTTTGAAAATGTTCTCAAGTTGCACGTAGATATGAGTGTGCAAACTTGAGGACACGCGTCTGTTCTGCCTTCTCTGTGAGACAAAATGCTGCCAGGGCAGAGCCTAAAGCCCATCTCCCTTGATCTTTACATCTCCTCTCTGGCTGGGGCTCAGCTCCTACACAGAATGCAAACACCTGATCAAGCACTTGACTCATTTTCTAACCCTGGCCGCACAGCTCACCCCCAGGCCGAGGTTCCCAGACACACTCATGGCCCTTATAACCTTGAGGTAACCTTGATGCGCCTACCCAGCACCTGCAGCCCATTTCCTCCCCGCAGGACTCCTACCTGTTACCTAATGAGAGAGGAGCTATGCGTGGGTGCTGGGTCCCGGCACTGAGAACATTTACCACCCCGCTTCCTGTGTTGATATGTATTGTGCTTTTTGGTCACTGGTGCCTGAGCGAGGTGTTAAGACTCACAACTACTTCCTAGTACTGCCTGAAACTCAGTTTCCACATGTGTGATAAGGTGATAAAAATACCCACCACTTAAAGACTGTTCAGAGGATGAAAGGAAATGATGTGTGTGAAGAGCTTAGCACAGTTCATGGCACATAGCGAGTACCTGATAAACAGCCCATAAAGGATTTAGGCAGAGTTTTTCCTTTAGATAGCAAGGTAAGTGCCTGTCCTTTGCAAAACTGAATCTCTGAGAGAAGGTTGTACGGTCTGGTGGAGAGAGCCCCGGGTTGGGGGCCCACAGGGCTGGCTTCAGACCCTGACTGTGCCGATTACTATCCTTGGAATCAGGAGCAAGGATCTGAGCCTCTGTTTTCTCATCCACCCCCCACAAAAAAATATGGCCAGGGATGATGCCAATACCTCCCACACGAGGTGTTTTGAGGATTAAATATAACTAAATGTCAGATTAACTTAAACGAAGATCAGGTAAAATTAACTTTAAAAATTGTATGGGTTTGTAGATTGGCAAATGCTATGCAAATATTGCTGTCCTTCTCTTTGGGTGCCTAGAAGGATGCCCAGCACTTCCACAGGCTGACTCACTAGGTGGGGACCGGGGGAGCTCTGTTCTGAACAGTTGGGAGACACCCGGATAAAGAGGAGAATAAGATCGCCGCCCAGGTCAGAAGGAGAGTGTCTCAGCTTAGCGAAAGAAATAGGGGAAAGCCCAACCCATTCCCTGCGTCCCAACACTCTGGGGGACACCTGAATTTTTCTGTGGAACGTGGGAAGTGAACTCCAAGACAAGTGATTATATCTAGTATTTGGAATAGATACAAACTTAATATATCCCATGAACTGTGAAGAAAAATTATTGAGAAAAATCCACCTGAGCTGATGCTAAGCAGCCATCTACCTCAGGCAGACACAAGCCTGCTCTTGGCAGAACCACCAGCAGTCATTCTGATAAGAAGCCTGGAAAACAATCCAGCCTCCAGCAGGCTGCCCATGAGGTGGGGATTGGGATCCCACATAGAAATACAAACAAGTTGCATATTGAAATAAAATTTGGGCTGCCTCACTTAGAAGCATCCCCTCCATCTAATCGTCACACACAGGTGGGACTTCTTCCATTTCATCTTTAAAGTCAAGGGGTTTCAGCCTAGGCATTTTCCCCTCTATCCTGGGGGGCTAGTCTGGTTTTGGGGTTTGAAGATCATAAGATCATCTTTTCTACCAGCGGCGGGTACTTTCTGAAACTTCTAAGGCAACATTGGACCTCTAGTCAGTAGATATTTACCCATTTAGGGCAAACTGAGTTGACCATCAAAGGTCAGTGGCTGGGTCAAGTGGGCCCTGGGAACCTGTAGTATGTCCCAGCACCTGGAGAGACAGGAAGGAATATCTGAATGGGTTCGTGGTACAAGAAGCACAAAGAAGTCAAGGGACTGGAGAGGAGTTCAGGTGAGAGTCACAGGTTCCTCTGCTCTGTAAAACTCACATCAGCCAATTAGAAGCTAGTAGATGCCTCACTGCCCCACACCATCACAGCTGAAACTACTGCCACAGCCCACTGCTGCACCTGAGAAGTAGCCCTGAGCCTCCTCCCAAACCCCTCTTCTGCGCCTGCAACACACCAGTGGGAAAGGACAACCATGGGAAGAATAGGAGAGGAGTAGGCCACAAGAGCAATTCCCACCTTGTCCAGTGCACACTCCAACCTCCTCCCGCCTCCTCTTGCGGCCCCGACCAACATCATCATCATCATTATCACTACCATAACCACACCCACCACAACTTGAGTAATTCTTTCCACGTATTTTTTCATGCAGTCTTCATCATCCCCCATACCCCCTACCATGCACCCTCCCCTCCAGGCACATCAGGCCTTCACTCTATTCAAACCTTCAATGTCCAGCTCATGTCCCACTTCTTCCACGAAGTTTTCTATGATCTCTGAGAATAGTAGGTTTCTAATGGCATGAAGGAAGTTTCTGCTTTTGGCATTGTCCTGTCAATATTTTCCATCAGGACTTGGATAGACCCAAGGACGGCATGCTTAGCTAAGTTGTCATCACATCAACAGATGACTGAAGCAGCATTTCCAAAGTGTCCCCTTATAGGCTGAGATGAGGGACTAGAACCATCAAAATGAAATGTCTTAGGCATGTTGTCAAGGGGAGTGGGAGCCCACAGGAAAAACCATTTTAATTGCAATTATATAAGTATGGAGTCTTGAACAAGGAAACTCTTTTATCTTCCTATATTTTCTCCTAGTCAGACAATATCTGAACCATCAGCCAGAAATCACCCAGAGGTCAAAGAAGAGGCTGGCGAGGAACCCAGAAACCACATCCTTTGAAGAATGGCTGAGGACACTGGGGATGTGTACTTTGGAGAAGAGAAGACTAATGGGGATGTGATCTCTGTCTTCAGAGGGTACTTATTGGAAGAGGAGCTAGGCAGTCTAGACGGAAGGCAGAGCCAAGACCTCTGGGGATGAATTACAGGGAGACAAATTTTGACTCAGCATGAGGAATAAGTTTCTAATGATTAAATCATCCTACATTGAAACGTGATCTCCGCATGGAACAAGTTTTTCACCCTTGGCGATGTTTGACTAATGCTGGGTGCCCACCTAAAGAAGAGGTAGTGACAAGAGTCTTGCATTTGCTGGGGGCAGGGGATGGGGGATGAGGATGGATTGGTTTATCTCCCCAATTCCCTTCCAATTCCTATATGATTCTCTATACTATATTCCTTCCTTATCAATGTCCTTAGAGCAGTAAAAGCTAAGTTGAATATTTCAATGGATTGGAGGGGGAGGGATATCGCGGGGTTGGGCTGGAAGAATGGAAAGTACACAGCAAACTTGGGACACAGGAAACATTGTGCACATCAGCTTCTTCCTGAACGTTTCGGGACCGGAAGTGCAGGAGAGGAACTCAGACCACTTGTCCTGGGACTCTTCCTCCTTAAAAGCAGTTGCTGAAGGCAGTGAATAGAGGAAAGAAAAGACCTCAACAGCAAAAACAGAGGCTGAAAACTCCTCAAGTTGTTGAAGCCCAAGAAAGATGTATCTTTTGGGAGTGAAGTGAGGGTTATAAGCAAGGTGTTTGGAGAGAAAGGGGAAGATGAATATGGAGGAAAAGGTGAAGGAGGGCACTAGAAAGGGTAGAATCCCAGCAAATGGTAATTTGGCTGGAAAGGGAGGATGACAACAAGGATTGAGGTGGGGCAGAGAAACAGCATTTCATGTGTAGACGCCACGGTGTGTGCGGTCATTATTTTCACATCGCTGTGGACCAAGAGAGGAAATGCCCTCTCCTGGAAGAAGAAACACAAAGATGACACTTGGGGGCCCTTAAGGCAGAGTTGAGGGAAAGGAAAGGGGTTCTACGAGTCTATAAGAGTGGCAGCCTGGTGTAGCAGAGAAAACACTGAATATGGAGTCAGGAAATCTGAGTTCAAGTCCCGGCTCTGCCAGTGGTGAGCTGTAGATCCCGGGGACATTACTCTCCCTCTAGGGACCTCAGGATCCTCCAGTGTAAAAATCTGCTCTAGCTGGGTAGTCTATGATGTTAGTAATGTATGTGCCAATCAAGTTAATTTGTAGCTAGAACATCACTATTTTTGAGTCAGAAAACGACTCTGTGACTTTATTTTTTTGTGCTTGGTAATTTGGGTAATTTCATTTTTGTCTTCCAGTAACGTTTTAGAGTTTTCCTTTTGAAAATTTCTAAATTATCTCTTCTAAACTTGAGCTGGAAAGGGAAGGTGTTCTGCCCCTGCCTTGGCAGAAGGAGGGTAGCAAGTAGAGTGGCCAGGTGTCCCAATTTGCCTGGGACTGAGGGGTTTCCCAGGACAAGGGACTTTCAGTCACGGGCCAACTGGATGATTGGTTGCCCCATTGGTGAAAAGATGAGGGTTTGGAGGTGGCTTGGAGCAGAGGTCCTAGAAGGGCTCTCCTCCTGTTCCCTTTCTATGTGGAGATTCCCTCATGGCCCCACTGAGTGCTGTGGTGGTTTTAATTACAAGGTGAGGCTCCCTTATTGGGAAGCTGGTGGAGGTCAGGGAGGAGAAGCAAGGGGCAGCTTCATACCAGTCATAAGCCCCAAGTCAGACAACTATTGCCGGGAAAGAAGCTGAAATGCTTGACTAGCACTGATGCTGTGGGGATTTTCCCTTTTTCTTCAAAAAAACAGAAAAGACCCAGTGGAAAAAAAAAAAGTGATGAGTTGTGAGGCAGACAGTGGGTCCTACGCAGCCCCAGGAGACGGTGCGCAGCTCATTTGTTTAAATTTGCAGCTGACGGCTGCCTCCTCTCTATAGGCACCAGGCAAAGAGCTGCTGAACATCAGACAGTGACCAGTCTGGTGACGTACAGCTGCAGCCATGAACTACCCCTTAACCTTGGACATGGACCTCACGAACTACAACTTGGAGGACCTGGTGAGTAGGGATAGAGGGCTCATGGTCGCCCAGGCCTTACTTGGAATTCTAAACATCCTGTGCCCGGGGCCCAAGGAAAAGGGGAGTCCCCTCCCACTGTGGATTGGCAGAATCTAGAAAGGCCCATTGACATCTACCTTTTAAGATTTTATTTCCCATTCCACGGAGGAAGCAGATAAATAGAGCTGTTGCCTTAAAGAGACGTTCTTTAGAGGAGGTTGGAAGTATGGGTTCAGGTCCTGCATCCTCCCTGACTGCTGTGTGACCTAGAACAAGTCACTTTGCCTCTCCATTCATCAACGGGGGATGCTCTGCTTACCTCTTAAAGCTGCAATAAGGGGCTAGACGGGAAAGTACTTTGGACGTTTTCTGAATGCCAGGAGGCTGGCATTGCCAGCCAATCAGTCAGTGTATACTTATTCATCTCTTGCTGTGTGATTATATTATCGAGATACTACATTTGGTATTGGACGGAGACGTTGAGGGCCTGGTCTTGGCCCTCAAATAAGTTACAGTCTAGCCGAGAAGAAGAAAATCACTCAATGGAAGCTCTTAGACAATCATTACGTGCTAAACCGAAGAAGTGTGAGACCAAGTGGTCAGCAAGGGAGAGGACCCCAGTGGGCTGGAGTCAGGGAGCAAGGGGTGCCAGGTCAGTGAGAGAACTCTGTGTGAATCCTAGAAGTGTTTTAGAGCATGTTGTGGCCTCCCTCAAAGGACTGGAATCTCTAGAGATAGGGTATTCTTGGATGGGCTGAGAACTTGGTCCCCAGCATCGCTCTCTGCTACCCACCGAAGTCTCTCCCATGAAGCAGAGTGGTTCAGTTGGCTTAGCTGTCACTGGGCTCCCAAAGGATATGTGTGGGGAACAGCTCAGCCAGAGACCTTAGGGCTCCTTTGTGCAGGCAGCAGAGCGCTGTTTGTAAGGATCTTTTGGAAACTTCTTTGTGGTCTGTCATCCCTTTCCTCCACTGCCAATGGCACTTGTAAGAAAGGACTTCTCTCTGAGCTGCACTCTGGGCTTTCTTTTATACCCACCAGCTCTCCTGACCCTAAGCTCACCCTGAGATGTTCCCCACTCCCTCCAGCTCCCCGAGCTAGAGTCTGTACTGTAACTCCACCAACCGTTCCCAGACTTGCTTGGAAAAGTCTGCCTCTCACTTGCTCAGATCTCAAGGCTTGGAAGTATGAGAAGAACATGCAGGAAGGTGAGGGGAAGGGCTAATTACCCAAAGTCAGATCTTTCAGATTCAATCCCCATGTAAAAGCAGAGCCAGGACCATCAGCCTAATCAGACGTGCTGCGTAAGTTGTGGGACCCAGTGAAAAATGAAAATGCAGGGCCCCTTGTTCAAAAATTGTTAAGAATTTCAAGATAGCAATGGCAGAGCACTAAGACAAGGCCCGGGCTCTTCTAAGTGCAGGGTTGTGTGTGACTGCATGGGTCGCACGCCCATGAAGCTGACCCTGAGTCCAATCCCAGAGTCTGGGCGATACCCTACATCAGACTAAAGCTCCACTGCCCTGGCAAGGCAATGTGCTCCCACCCGGGCCCCCAGTCTGGGCTCCTGGCCCCACCTGATTAGGTTACTGGGTGTCTTCCTCTGCCTGTAGCTTCAAGCTGACCACGAGCCCTGACCCAGTTGAATATCATAGTAACTCGAGACCTGGCTGGTCCTGGCTTCTGAGAAACCTCAAGAGTTTCCCCTAATTGCATGCCTCACTCCACTGGGTGACCTACTAGAGCCAGGTGGTGGCGAGGGACAGCAGGGCATGTCCTATATATCAAAGAAAACCTACCGGTCAGGGAGAGAGACCTGGTGACTTGCTTCATGTCATCCCTCAAATGAGTGGTCTTGGGCTAGGCATCCCAGCATGCTGGAACCCTTTCAGTCAGGGTCTAGCCAGGAGCCCAGGAGTCCTTGGACCATCCGGGCTCTGGAGCTCTTCTTCAATCAGCTCCCAGCGCCTTGTCCCGCCTTCACTTACCTCCTATACACTCTCTCTCAGGCTGTTGCTCCCTCAGGAGCACAGACCCTCTCCGTCTATCCTCGCCCACTCACAGCAGGGCCTTGAGCAGTTTTATTTGTCTCCCCGACAGTGTCTCACAGCACACGGGCCCTGGGATGGCAGAGTAGCAGAAGAGTCTTGCAGGCAGTAGCTTCTCAATAAGCATTGATTGATTTGTGCCGTATTGAAGGTCTCAGCTCGTTATTTCTCTCTGGATTTAGTCCCACTTCTATTCCTTTTGCTTCCTATTGCCAGTCTTGTCCTTGTCCAAAGCACGCATTGGTTCACTTTCCTAGAACACTGGCTTCTACACTCCAACGTTGGATTAATAACAGGACGCTCTGGGCCATAAGCCACCTGTTGGTCATCCTGTCTTCCCCTCCTCCTCTTGAATTCTAAGATCAACTCTAGCCACTTAAAATGGCCATTTTCTTAAGATGGGCTGCTAACTCCCATGAACGGAGGATCCATAGGGAAAAAATCTAGATGGCTAGGTACCAGGAACAAGGATCCAGATCCCTGGGGTGGGCATACCAGGGACCACCCTGCTGGGAAGGCAGATCTAGGCAGACCTAGAAAAGTCTCTGTTCACAGGAATCCATCTGAGAGTGTGGAGAACCAGGGCCGGGCGGGGCACCTACAGGGGCCAGTCATAAACTGCACCTCCAGCCGTACCCTACACACCAACCAGAAAAGGAAGCTGCTACAGAGCAGGGTTAAGCTGGTCGAGACTCAGGGCCTGGTTTCCCCTGACCTCTTCTCCAGTGACAGCCCCCACAAACTCTGACTTCAGCGTGATCAGAGCATCACAGGTTGAAAAACCCATCCACATGTACTGTCTCATTTCATCAAGGAGATGTAAAGAAGAGGAACCAAAACCAGCTCAGGCCGTTTCTGGGCTTTACCTTGGGGGAGGGGAGGATCCACTCCCCTAACCAGGTCAAAAGTCCCAGAGGAACCCCAGTGGAGAAGGCCCCAACTGGGGGTTATTAGGGGCGCCCAGGATAAGGGAGCGACCCAGGGCCACCCTAGGGAGGGGGCGGTGTGCGGTGAATCTGGGCTCAGGCACACAGATCACAGTCTGCGTTAGGAACTCTTGTCTTCCTCGAGAATACAGACTGGCTGATTCCACTCCTCTGGCAAAACAATGTGAAAAATGGCCATGGATTCAGCACTGAGAATCAGGACACAAGAATGAGTCTTCTTTCAGGAACGATGGGACAAAATATTTCAAATCAGTACCGACTGAGGAGATGGTTTCAAGATGTTGCTGTACACACCTAGGAGACATGTCTACCTGTCCCTCGGACTGTGTGACTCTGTCCCCAAAGCGCAAATTGATTTGGGGTGCCAAGTGGGGGTGCTCTTAAACCTAGACTCAGTTCAGAGGAAAGGATAGCTTAAAGTCTCCCCCAGAAGATCATCCAGAGTAGTACCATGTTTCTAACGGACAAAACCCTTAGGTGGAGATAGAAGAGGAGACTGGCAGGTTTGTTTCTGAAGTGTTGGCTAGGGGACAGGAGGAAGATGTGACAAATGGCAAGCCAGAATCTCATATGATCTTTAGGGAGTGTGGGCCCTCTAAAGGAAGAATGAGGTAAGGGATATAGACCTCTACCCTAGCCCCTTGGCCCAATCTCATTCCTCCAGACCCCTGCACCCCTCAAGCCACTGAAGGCTGGAATGAGAGATGCCCTGGCTGGCGCCACTCACAGCTCCTGACTCTTGGCTGGGAATATCCAGACAGGGACATAAAGGAGATGGAGCCTGTGTGCTCTCTACGGCCAGAGCAATGATCCGCATCTGTGCGCAGATGCCTCTTGCAGCCAGAATGACTCAGGGCCCTGGAGGCCTGGAGTTTGGCCTGAATGAGCCATGTACTCAGCAGCCCTGGCCCCTCCAGGGGGCTGAGAAGCAAGGTCAGGCTGGGGCATTCAGTGGCTTCAGGACAGACAGACTAGAAGCAAACAGCTCCCACCAGGTGCTGAGCTAGATGAAGCTCAGCCTTGGGCAGGGCACGACAGCCAGAGAATCTGAGCATCTGGGAGCTAGGAGCAACAGGCATTTGAGGGCAGGGCCCAGCCTCCTTTCCAGGGCAGGAATCCCTTCCCACACACTTGGGCTCAAACATTCCTCTTCCTCTCAAGGGCCTCAACCCGTGGTTGGACAGTTCTGGCTGTTAGAAGGTTCTTTCTCCTTTGACTGAAACACCCCTGATCCCAACCTCTGCCCATTCCTCCTGGTCTGCCTTCAAGAACCTCACACAATCAGCCCATCCTGCCCTCTTGCCCAGGGGGCCTCTTTCCAATCCTTGAAGAAGACGGCTCTCCTGAACTCAATCTTCTCTTCCCTAGACTCTACGGCCCCGTACCTGAAGACTTCCTCCCACGGTGGGGATTTCCAGGCCCCTCAGCAAACTGGTCACCCTTGTCCAGACCAAACAAACTGGGTTGATGCCAGCTGCCCACCTACAGGTTTCTGTTCACCTAGAATAAGGCAGCCCTTCTGGCAGCCACGTCACCCTGTTGACTCATTTTAATCTTGCAGACAACAAACTCTCGGGTCTTTTTCTCATAAACTTTTGTTAAGCCAGGTCTTCCCTAACTTGTCCCTGGACAGTTGAAGTTTGAAGCCTGAGTCTAGGTCTCTATATTTTTCCCTATCAATTCCATACAGTCAGTTTGGGCATGTAGTTCCAGGGTGTGGAGAACTCTGCATTGTCTGAAAGCGTCCACCAGCCATGTCATCCAAGACAGGGCTGAGAGTGTAAAAGAGGAGAGGATCCAGGACAGACCCCCGAGGAATGCCCTAGACACGCCCTGCCCAACCTGCTGACACAGAATCCCAGGCAGCAAATGTTTGCTGAGCTTCTCACTGGCCAGTGCAGGGCAGCGAGGCAGCCTCATTATTTGGAGAAGTCAGAGGGGGCTTGGAGACCTTAATTATCCAGGGGGGGGCCTGGGTCCTACAGTGGCTCTTGAGGAAGGAGAGAAGAAAGACGCAGAAGGAGGAGGGGAGTGGAGGAGAAGAACAACATTTGTAATCCCACCAGGGGCCGAGCACCTTGATCTCTTCCTCCATCTTCCCTTCTCCTGGGACCTCAATACCAGGACACAAAACGTTCAAGCCCCTTCTCCTGCCTCGTCCCCAGCGCTCAAGCAATTTTCTACTGGATTCCTGGCTCGGTGCCCAGTTTCATCTGGTCATCATGTTTTCTTGCTTCTTTGGGGCATGAGTCCCTGGCCTCTGTGTAGGCTATTGTCTGCTGGGTCCTTACCTATGCCACACACTGTCATGGCCCCACCTGGGCACATGTCTGTGTCTATACAAGGTGCATGCTGCTGTCAGAGTGGGTGCATGCTGAGGACCTTGGGTTCCTGCAGCTTTTCCTGTCAGAGAAGGAGTGAGTGCTTGGCCAGACCACCTGCACTGTGCTCCCTCTGGGCGTGAGTCCCGGGGGGCTCCCTTCTGTGCCCCACTCCCCATGCTATTCAGGATTTCTGAGTCTCAACTTCCCACCAGACCGCAGCCAACCTTGCTTTGATACCTCTCTCCATGGTTTGGGGAAGGGTGGGGGTGTCTGATCTCCTAGGTATGGGAAGTGGCTTTAACAGGTGCCACATCTGAGCCCCCAAAATGTCTGTTTGACACCTCCTGCGGAGATGTACTGCCAATTCCCGGCACCCCTCAAACCAGCTTCCTCCCATGCTCCCCTCTCTGCCTGACCACCTTGCCAAACAAATACCTCTTGGCAAGAAGGAAGAGACGGTCCCCCCACCCAACCCTCCTCTAAACCTGGGTTCTCAGGAGACAGGGACTCTGGGGTCCTGGGGACATGCTCCACTGCGTTGACTTTAAATGAGCAGTAAACCAGTCAACCTGGATGTTTTAGAGGGGAAGGACTTGAGTGGTTCTCATAAAGGGCCTTTGGGACCAGACAGGCTGTCTGCACCTAAACCCTCCACCGCACGTGGAACAGCCGGGCTCTCACCACTGCGAAGTTAGGTGGAGTCCTGCCCCACAGACTGCCCCAAGTCTGGCATCTCTCCTCTCTGTGTCTGAATTGCTTTGCTCTGTGTGAAGACTGCTCGTCTCACTGTTTGCCTCTTTAACTCCCGCTGAATTCCAGGTCAGGGCAAATGGTTATATATTCATTGACGATACTGGAAATAGCTCCCAATACAGAGAGAGAACCCAAGATAAGCTCTAGGCTCTCAAGGGCATTGGGAGGAGGAAGGAACTGAAGAAGGATGAAAAGCAGTGTCTGGGTCTCCTCTGAGCACAGAGAAGGACTTGCCTAAAGTCCCAGAATACAAGGGCCCCTGGCCTTTCCTGGGAAACTGCTCTCAGAGCAGTTCAGCACACATCTGCTGCATGTCCATCACGTGTAAAGCACATGATCCTGTAAGGGAGACAGAAGGCCTGCCTCCAGGAGCTCACCGTCTAGGGTGGAAATGGACATCCCAACCCTGAGTGCCTAACAAAGGCACATGTAATGCAAGAAATGGGAATGTAATTCCGAGCGGAAGAGCTAGGAAGGATTTAGGAAGGTGGGCTTGAACTGGGCCTTGAAGGAAGCATAGGCATTAGATGGTAAACTTGGAAAGAAAGGACTGCTCAGCAACAGGAAGAGTTTGAGGAAAGTTTTGGAGACAGGAATGTGTCAGGGTGTTGGGGGCAGGCAGCCAGTAGAATGATGAACCTGGAGGGTAGGCTGCCTAAAGCGGTAAAGTAGAAGATGAGGTTTGATGGTCAGAGGAATATATACTTTCTGGAAATTTAAAGGCCCTGTTGGGGAGTTTAGACCTCACCCTGCAAGTCCATGGTTTTCAAATGAAAATAGAACCTTTTGTTTTTCCTAAAGATTGGCACCTGAGCTAAAACTTGCGAATCTCTTTTTTTTTTTTTTTTTTGCTTTTTCTCCCCAAACTCTCCCCAGTACATAGTTGTATACTTTTAGTTGTGGGTCCCTCTAGTTGTAGTATGTGGGACGCCGCCTCAACATGGCCTGATGAGTGGCGCCATGTCCGCGCCCAGGATCTGAACCAGAGAAACCCTGGGCCGCCTAAGCAGAGCACACGAACTTAACCACTCAGCCACAGGGCCAGCCCCAGAACCATTTTCTTAAACAAAAGCTTATGTGTGAAATACCACATGAGACAAAAGTGGAAAGCTCTGGTTTAAAGGCAGGGAGGGGGGATTGGTCCCTGCCCGGCCCTGGCCCCAGGAGAATCCTGCGACGAAAGTCCATGGAATCTTGCTGTATGGGATGCCCTGCAAATGGCTCTGAAATCTAGCAATATGGTGAAACACCCCCTCAGAGGACATGCAGACGGGCCTCATTTCTTTCTGAGCACGGCATTGCCTTCTGTCGTGTGAATGCACTGGCGTGGCTTACTCCAATCTTCTACTGATGAACTTGATCATGAACATGAATTTTTCTTATAATTGGCTTTGCTATTCAATGTTCAATGACATTGAAGAAAAAAAAAAGATAAAGACAAACAGAAAAGAAAACCACTGCTTATAGGTAACAGAGAACCAGTAAAGGACTTTATGCAGGAAAGTAATGTGATGGGATTTGTGGGGCCTCTGCGTAGCAGATGGACGAGAGTGGAGAAGTTGGCAGGAATGGCACCTGGGGGAGACAGTAGTCCTGAGAATTAGGGTGAAGAAGGGCTGGACTGAGGTGATGGCAGAAGGTTGCTGGGGGTGGGGGGTGGGCAGATGGACCTGCCATTGCACTAATGTATACCCCCATCTCCTTCTCCCAGCACCTCTTACCCCAGGGACCAGAAGGAAAGACCCAGATTGGGGAAGGGGTCTGCCCATCACTGAGAGTGAGCATATGACCAACAACTGGGGCCTCTGGGTGCTGGTGCATCCACCCCCTGCTTGTGAGAGACCCTCAATCTCCTGGAAAGAGGGCAGCATGAGACCACCCAGAGCCTGGGGGCAGAGTACCATCTCCCATCCTCTCCCTCCCTGAGGCTCATCGTTTATGGAAGCATCTTTCCGAACCCACACAAGCTGGTTATAAATGGTTTTGAAACGCCGTGGGGAGGGATCTGGTTTGGGGAGGGGTGGGAAGAATAGAGCTGGGAAGTGAGGAGGAGCAGGTGCAGGGGGACAGCTGTGAGTGAAAGGTATGAAAACAGGCACTGTGTCTTCCTTTGCGGTTAGCTGAGTAAACAACCTGAGTGCTAGGGGGTGGGGAGGGGACAAGGGTGGGGAGGAGGAGGCTGGGGAGGAGGGAGCTTCCGGAGACAGAGTGGGCACATCCCCTTCACTTGGAACAGGCTCCCCCCACCCCACCCCCCGCCCCCACTTCCTTCTGCTTCTGGGCTTTCTGCTTCTGAAGCTTTCCTTGCTGTCAGCAGAGAAGGGAGTTTGCTAGTGATGGGAAGTAGCAGGGAGGGAAGCCCAGGCAGTGCTGCGTGTGCTGGAAGCATTGGCTCTGCAGTTAGATCAATATGGGTTCAAGCAGACCTGATCTTTAGCCGGACTCACCAGTAAAATAGACATATTGCATATCTTGAGCCTGTCATGCAAATTAAACAAAACAGAGGCTATTACTACAATTTCAGTTATAGTGAAGACAGTCAGGAATAAGGAACAAATCAAGAGGAAGCCAGTGGGCCACTGCAGCATCCGCCCCCTCAGCAAGATCCTGGGTTTTAGTGCCTACTGTTCTGTTCAGAATTGGAACAGATGGCTCCTTGTCCCAACCACCTCCATTCCCAAAAACGAAGTCCTGATTCCAGCCCCTGAGTCTGCAGCCTTCCGTACCTGAGGACACACAAACACAAAATAACTTACGGATGCACAGCCCTTCAGAGTTTACGAAGCATATCCTCAGTATGTATCTCCTTTCATCTTCGTCACGACCCGGTGAGGAATTGGTCCCTTTTATAGAGGAAAACTGAAGTTGGGAAAGGCAAAGTGACTTGCTCAAGGACACACAAATGGAAAGTGGGGTTGGGTCAGTGGGATGTATTGGGAGTGCTGGGACAAAAGCAGTTAGCCTCTGGGTGGGGGTAGGAAAAATCTACAGGAGACTCAGCATCCTTCTCCAAGAGGAAAGCCAGGTCCTCACTTCCTTCCCCTTCTGTCTCCTTGCCCCTGCAGTACAAGGAATTGGGCAGCTACAATGACAGCTCGGAGCCCCCCGTGGTGGAAAATCACCTCTGCTCTACAGTTGAGGGGCCCCTCCTGACCTCCTTCAAGGCCGTGTTCATGCCTATGGCCTATGGCCTCATCTTCCTTCTGGGTATGATGGGCAACATCCTGGTGCTGGTGATCCTGGAGCGGCACCGGCAAACACGCAACTCCACCGAGACCTTCCTGTTCCACCTGGCGTTGGCTGACCTCCTTCTGGTCCTCATCCTGCCCTTTGCTGTGGCCGAGGGCTTTGTGGGCTGGGTCCTGGGCACCGGCCTCTGCAAAACTGTGATCGCTCTGCACAAGATCAACTTCTACTGCAGCAGCCTGCTCCTGGCCTGCATTGCTGTGGACCGCTACCTGGCCATTGTCCACTCCGTCCATACCTACCGCCACCGCCGCCTCCACTCCATCCACATCACCTGTATAACCATTTGGCTGGCGGGCCTCCTCTTCGCCTTGCCAGAGCTTCTCTTCGCCAAGGTCAGCCAACCTCATCACAATGGCTCTCTGCCCCGCTGTACCTTCTCCCAAGAGAACCAAGCTGAAACCAATGCCTGGTTCACCTCCCGCTTCCTCTACCATATCGGAGGATTCCTGCTGCCAATGCTGGTGATGGGGTGGTGTTATGTAGGGGTGGTACACAGGCTGTGCCAGGCCCAGCGGCGCCCTCAGCGGCAGAAGGCAGTCAGGGTGGCCATCCTGGTGACGAGTGTCTTCTTTCTCTGCTGGTCACCCTACCACATCATCATCTTCCTGGACACCCTGGCGAGGCTGAAGGCCATGGTCAATAGCTGTGATCAGAATGGCTATCTCTCTGTGGCCATCACCTTGAGTGAGTTCCTGGGCCTGGCCCACTGCTGCCTCAATCCCATGCTCTACACTTTCGTTGGCGTGAAGTTCCGTAGTGACCTGTCACGGCTTCTGACCAAGCTGGGCTGTGCCGGCCCCGCCTCCCTCTGCCAGTTCTTGCCTAGTTGGCACAAGAGCAGTCTCTCTGAGTCAGAGAATGCCACCTCCCTCACCACCTTCTAGCTCCCAGCTCCCCTCTGTTTCTGCTTTCCTTGGCGGATGCAGTGATGCTGGAACCCCTTCCAACAGGATCTGGGAGTCTAAGAGCTCACCTTGGCCAGTGTCCTCATATGGGGCAGCTAGATGAACCAACTCCTCTTTCCAGGAGATCCCTGCCAGCTCTTCTCCCAGCCCTGGGACTTGGCTGGAGTCCAGGTAGGCGAAAGCAGCCCAAAGGCAAAGCAAAGGACACCTGTGCCTGCCTACATCACCTTGGGCTGAGAGGACCCCACACAGCTTCTCTCATCTTAACCATCTAAAGCTCAAGAAAGAACTTTTACTTCTGCCCTTGCCAATAGGGAAAGTCAATCCCCTTCCAGAACACACTCTATCATCTTTTGGGCCACTGACCTCCACGACTACCCACCTCTCCTCCTACCCTACCTGCTGAAAGAAGCTAGAAGCTGAGGACCAGGGGATGGATGGAGGTTAAGGCTGAGGAAAGACCAGCTGGCAACAGAGTGTGGCCTTAACATGTCTCAGTCCCTAAAAAACACAGACATTCTGCCAGGCCTCCAGCCTGCAGCATCTTGACCAAGCAGGAAGGTCAGATTGACCCAGTCCAGGTAGCTGCCTCTGGTTCTGACCAAAATGGTGCTGGGTCAGCCCCATGTCACTGGGTCCTTGGAGGTCTGCAGATTGAGGACAGACTTCAGGTGCCCTCAGAGACCAGGCAGTGTCCCAGGGAAGAACTAGAGCCAAGCCGGCAGAGAGGAGCCCAAGTGGGGCAAGACAAGATTCCCCTTCCCCAGCCCTACGGAGGGACAAGTACAAACCGAAGCCAGCTGTTGTCTCTGCGCAGGGTACAGAGCTCCCAGGGTGGGCCAGGGACAGCTAGATCTAGGGCCCTGGTGGGCCTGGGCACTGATGGGGAAGGAGCAGACTCTCTCCTCCCTGCCCCCATCCCTGCAAACTACACAGCAGGGGAAACTCCTCAAGCAGCAGAGGCGTCTTGACTGTAGCACACGGAGCACTTAGCCAAGAGTCAGAAGGGAGATGGAGATCCCCTGAGGAGCAAGACAGACTGACAGGGGCCAAGGGGGTCATCTCATCCAGCTCCCTGCCTGCAGGCCAAGCCCAGAGCACGCAGTCTGTCTGGGCCTCAGCAAGCGCTGCAGCATCCCCTTAGGAAGGACGGTGCGGAAAAGCAGGTCTGGGCAGGGAAGTCCCCAGGCCCCAGGAAGCAGGGCCCTGCCCCCAGAGGATACCACTCAGATGGAACCAGAGGAAGCGGCTCTGCGCTCGCCCGCCTGCCCGGGAGGGCTGACCCTCCCTCCTTCCCAGCCTCTGTCTGTCTAGGGAGGGACAACAGGGACCCCAGCACTTGCTGAGGAAACTTCTGGGTTGCTCAGTCCCACTCAAGCCAGTCAGCCAAGCTCCCTAGGAGGCCCCCATTGGGGAATCAGAGCTGTGACCAGGGGACAGTGTCTTCACGTGGAACAATGGGGAAACCCTGGAGCCCCCCTTTTTTCTCCTAGCATCCAGTGGTAAGCTGGGCAGTGGAGAAGCCAGACACGGAAGTAACAAGGCAAAAGGCTTGATTTTTAATTTTCTCTTTTTAATAAAAAGGCACCTATAAAACAGGTCAATACAGTACAGGCAGCACAGAGACCCCCGGAACAAGCCTAAAAATTGTTTCAAAATAAAAACCGAAAAGATGTCTTCACATATTGTATTTATATATTTATATTTATATATATATATTTATATAATGGTACAAAATGGCTGGGGTTATGGCCATGGATGGAGGGAAGAAGTAGGCTGGCCTGTGGAGTTCACCTTGGAAAGCTAGTCTGATGGCGGAGGTGGGAGGAGAATGGGGAGGCCACTGGGTCCTTGGCATTCTGACCCCTCTCCTCTGGGCAGGAAACAGTCAGTTTGGGGAGTCTTGGGTCAGGGGTGGGGGGCTCATGGGCACAGGGCCCAGGTTGAGGCAGGGCAGGCAAAGTGCCTGGCAGGATGGAGGGCAGGTGGCCTGTGAACAGAGGCCGGGCCCTGGCCCCTGGGAGGTGCTGGGGGGGCAGGAGCCTGCGGCCAGCCCTGGAGGAAGCGCTTGACCTGGCTGACGGTGGACTGAGGACAGCACCAGACTGGGAGAAGTGGGGGCAAATTCCCTTTGTTTCACAGCTGCCAACGCGAGACCAGGCCCTGCAGATCAGGAAGGCTGGGGACGGGGCCATAGCAGAAGACACTTTGTCTAGAAATGGCCCTGGGCCCTGGAGGCGGGGCGTAAAAGGCCTCAGCCAGGGAACTGCCTTGCCACCTCACAAGGCAGGAAAGGAAGTGAGAAAAGGAGAAGTGTTTACTCCTGGGGCCGAGGGGGGGCAAAACACTCAGTCGTGTATGGCTTCAGCTCTCACCAGAGGCATTGGGGAGCTCTTCTGGGGAAGAGCAGGGGACTGAGGGAGAGGCAGTGGCTGCGCCTGGGTGGGCAAAGAGCCCTGAGCCCTGGGCAGAGGGTCCTTGCCAGTAAGTAGGCAGGCAGAAAGGAGGTGGTAGGACACTCTCCTGCTCCCTGTCCAACACCTTCTCTATTCCATCCTCAGGGGTGGAGGCTGGAGGGAGACAGACTGACTCAACCAAACCCTTTTCCTTCCTCCTTTGGGCAGAAGCAGCTGGTGGCAGCCTCTGGAAGAGTCAGGGCCCTGGGGGTTACCTGGCCCAGGGCCATCTGGGCCACCCTGTCACTCCTCCATGGCTCCACTCAAGGGGGCCACACAGCCTCCACCTCTTCCTCCTTTCCTTCATCCCAGACTGGGGACCAAGGACTTCAAGTTCTGGCTAAGATGTAGCAGCAGGGGACCCTAGACATCCACAGCTGGGAAGCCAAGGCCCCATGTTACCTGTGTGGGGCAAACACGCATGCATGTGCACGTGTTCTCCTGGATCACTCAGCAGCAGACAGGCTGCCAGCCTGGGGGTCTCAGCATGCTGGGGCTCTCCAGGTGGAAGCCCAGGTAGTCTGACCTCAGTTTAGTGGTGGGGCATCTGTCATTTCACCATTTGGCGAGGGGGCTGGAATGGTATCCTTTATGGACCCAGGGACACCGTGAACAGTGGGTAGGTGTGCTGTACTGCATGTCCCTGGGTCCAGGGGAATGGAAGGGGCAATAATTTGAAGAAGGGGGGAAAGGTTTCTTTTATCCTTTTTTTTTGTGTGACTTCTATCAAAACACAGAAATACAGCACACGCACAAACCGGCACAAAAGCGCAGCGCTCTATTTACAGCTACGGCTGGCACCTGCCCACCTGGCCAGCCGCCTGCAGGGAAGGGTGGGAGAGGGGTCAGCCACATCAGCAGGGAGAGGAAATGAGGCAGGAAAAGACAGAAGGAAGAACGCAGGAGCAGAAAAATCAAGAGGAGGAAAGTGACGCGGGAGCAATGAAGAGATAGGAGACAGCAGCAGAAAGGAAAGGGACGGGAGGGGGACATCTTTCCTTCCTCTCTCCCCCAAGGATTCCACACAGGACTCCTGAAGCATAGCTGAATGACGGTGGGTGCAAAGAAGGAAGGAAAATAGAGGCTCCATAGGATTGGGAGGAGCCAGGGAGGGGGCAGTTGTGGTGGCCGAAATGGAACAAACAGCAATCCAAAATCCCCACCCCCCAACTCTGCCACTTCCCCCAAAGCTGCCAGCACATCTGGTTTCCACAAATGCCACTCCCCACACAAGCCCCTCCCACCCCGTCCACCCCACCCCTTGACCCAGGCCATCCCAACACTGGAGGGGAAGAAACTTTTTTAAGGTTATCATATTTGCAATGTTGCCCCAGCTCCAGCCCCAAACGGGGACTGCTAGAAGGGCAGGTTGGCCATGCTGCCCGGCGTTGGGAGGTAGCCCATCTGGCTGTCCAGAGACACACTGCGCTGCCGCAGGGGGTGGGACACCATGAGGTTCTGCTGGGGCGGGGGGCCCATGAGGGAGCCCTGTGGGGAGAGCATGTGGGGGGGCTGGCTGTAGACCTCACCCCCCACACCCCGTTGCTTCATCAGCATGAAATTCTGCTGGGTCATGAGGCCTTGTGGAGGGGACATGACCCCCTGGTGCAGGCCGTGGGGCACCATGCCCTGCTGTGGGGGCACACCTGTCCTGCCCAGCAAGGACATCTGTCCCGGGTGGCACATGGACATGTTGAGCCCCCGCTGGACACCCTGCTGGCCCGGGAGGTTGGGGGGCCGGGAGGGAGTCTGCTCCGCCATCATATTCTGCAGGTTCATGAGATGCAGATTGGGGGGCTGGGCCTTGGGGGGCTGGTTCTCGCTCTTGGGGAAGTACTGGAGGGTGCTGCTTGGCTTCTCAGAGGGGATGATCCTCGACAAGTCGAACTCAGGGATCCCCGTCGGGGTGGGCCGGATCACCTCGCTCAGCTCGGGGTCGTTCAGCACTGATGCCACCCCAGGAAGCACGCCTGGTGGGTATGCATCGCCCATGCGCCCTGCCATGGTTTTGCCCATCAGGTGCTGCTGGGGGGGCATGGGGCCTGGCGGCTGGCTGGGCAGGTCCTCTGGGGGCAGGGGCATACCTGAAGGATAGTGCTGCTGCAGGCCAGGCCCAGCGCCCGCACCCCCACTGGGAGCCATGGCACCATGGGGCTGCTGCAGCCGAGGGGGGAAGGGCATCATCTGGGAGGAGCTGGGCACAGGGCCACAGGGGGCATTCAGGGAGTCTGGGCCCCCTGGAGCCATGATCATCGAGTTTTGAGGGGGTCCTCCTGTCCCCTGCGCATTGGGGTGCAGTGGAATGTTGGAGCCCAAAGGGGTGGGGGAGGGCAACATGGCAGGCGGGGGCTCATGGGACAGGGGCTGCTGGCCTGGCAGGTTCATGCCCATGGGACTCTGGGCAGCAGCTGAGTTCAGGTGCATCTGGTTGGGCTGGTTATTGCTGATCCCTGTGGGGAAAGATGGAAAGGGGGTCAGGAATTGTGTGCCCCCAGCTGGGGGAGAGTGCAGAACTGAGTCCGTCCCCTGTCCCCAGCCAGGCTGGTGCCAGGGGTGAGGGCTTTCACCATCGGCCTCTGCTGGCTGCGAGGGAAGGGACTTGAGGCATTTAGGTTAGAAGCCAAGAGATCCGAGTTCTGGCCCAGTTTGCCATGGACACATCATTGGATGTTCGAAAAACCACTCAAGTGCTCTGGGCTTGGTTTCACTAAGTGACTACAAGCGAGAACTGTGTCCCAGGACATCACACCCCACTCCCAGGGCCCTCTGGAAGCACATACAAGCCAGCATGACCACAGGGGCAATTGCTGGCCATGGCAACTCTTCCCATTCCCAATGCCCACATCAGCTCTTCTCCCTGTGGCCCCCTTCCTGTCCTCGCACCTGGCCCAGAGCCCTGCGGTGGTGGTGGCGGGGGTAGCAGGGGCCGGTCGGGCAGCAGCTCGTCATCTGAGGTGGCGATGGTCTTGATGGCATTGTGGTAGAGTGGGGTGGAGCTGGGCATGGCATACTTGGACATCTGGGACATCATCAGTGACAGGGGGTTCTGGGAAGGCGTGGGGTCTGGGGAGGAAGTGAATGGCAGGCTGGGGTTCATGAGGCCACTGGGAGGGTTGGCGGGAGGCGCTGAGTTGCTGCTCCGGGGGCCGCTAGGCGGGAGGGCACCTACAGAAGGGGGGAGACAGAAAAAGCAGAGGGTGACTGGGAGGGGAAGATGAATTGGCTGCTCACATTGGGGGTTTAGAAAAAGTCACCTCCCAGATCTCCACCTGACTCTTCCAGGCAGACCTCTACTGAGATGTCCTACTCAACACAGGTCCCTCATTAACACTACAGCCCACCCATTTGCAAGCAACTCCTGCAACCTCAGTGCCCCAGGCAGTGCGGAGATCCCAAGTATGACCCCCTTAAAATGCGTCTGAGATTAACATGGTGTCCCGTGAGAGCCCACTCACAGCTGCCAACATCTGCCCCTCAAGCAGAGCCAGCCACCTCTGGGTCCTGGTACTGTGATGCCTTAACTCATGCCCCTGCCCCAGCATGAAGACACCAACCTGGGAGGCTCCCAATGCCCCAGTCCAATGCCCCCTTGCCCGGCCCAGCTGACTCACTCTGTTCCATACTGCCCAGGGTGGTGGAAGAGTTCATGTTGAGAGGCGGCTGCTTGTTCTGGGGGACCCCAGGGCTGGGCATGGCTGTCTTGGGTGAGGCAACCCAACCTGGAGAAGGCACCGCCATGGAGGGAGACTTGAGCCTGCTGGGTGAGCCAGTGGGTGAACGGACACTGAGGGAGGAGCTGAGGACCTGGGGCGACTTGAGAGGTCCTGGCGGGTTGGCCGAAGGCAAGGGCACCATCTGTGAGGGAGTCTGGGGTGACTTGAGGTTGGCGGAGGGCGAGGTGACCAGGGGTGAGTGCACCTGGCTAAGGGTGGGCGATTTCAGATGCCCCATGCCTGGCGAGCCCATCTGATTAATACTGATGGTGAGGTCTGAAGGCCGTCTGCCCAGCCCCCGGTTTGGGGCTGAATGCACAGACCCGGGAGGAGGATTGGATGCAGGAGGCAGAGGCATGTGGCTGAGCCGAGTGGTGCCCACATTGCCCATGGGCATTGAGCTCTGGTCAGGGCTGAACATGTCTTGGGTATTGCCCATGTCCTGGGGCATGGCTTGGTAGGGTCCCTGGCCCCCAGAGAATCCCTGCTGGCCCTGGTTAGGAAACTGTGAA